CTCTTGGGAAAGAAAGTTATCATGGGCAGACAACAAAATGTGGAGGAAGCAGGGCATTTAGCTGCTTGAAAAGCAATTGAGCTGAGTTTCTCCATTATGTGATCAAAGAAGAGCAAAACTGTGAAGCTTTCTGGTGTTCATTCCAATCTGTGTTATGGTGGTCATTGTTGTATTCAAACGTTTGATGCTGTATTTGTGCAGATAAGAGTCCTTTTCCCTCTCCACAGATATTCTTCCACATCTGCAGCACAACCCTTAGTTAAGCCTTTGCCTAATAGTGTGAATTTGCACAATTCTGTCTTGTCTTTTCCTGCACTTCAAGCTATTAGGAGGTGAGCCAGCTCTAGCCCAAAAGTACTATAAACGAGTGCAGATAGTCCCACATATAATGCCCTTGGGCCAGAATGTGGGAACCACAGCTGAGCAGAGTGAGCCTTCATCTGCAAAAGGCAAAGCAGACCAATTGCTCTAAATCCTGAGCAAATCCTGAGGCAAGTTTCACTTAGGATGCAGTGATATTTGTGTTTTGGTTCATGGTAGGGGTCTTGATGCACTCAGGATACCTCAAGGATGGTATGAAACTGGGAGACATGTTCCCACCACTGCTGGGCATTTCAGCCCAGGGCCAGCATAGAGCTAGCCCAAAATGCACACAAGCTGGTCATGAGGTGCTTCACATCATTTATTTTGCCCTAGGGATCTCCTTCTACTGCACTGCCTGACCTGCAAATCTAGACCTAGTCTCAGCTCTTCTAGCAGCCCTCATTTTGGCACAGCCCTGGATTAAGCTCCTATGGTAGGTTATTTAGTCTAGCAAGGACATGCAGAAACACTGAATGTAGTCAGATGGCCAGGTTTTGTAAAGGCATTAGGCAGAGATTTGATTGTCCAGCATGGCTTCAGGCACAGGCAGACATTAGCTGCCAAGCACAGCAAGGAGAGGGAACGGTATCACAACTTGCTCTCAGTCCTCTATGGACACAGAGACAAGCGGCCTCCTGTCTGCTGGGACCATGCAACTAGATCCCACCTTGAAACCCCACCAGGATCTGCAAAGTAGTCTTACCCTCCACCGTCCCTCCTTACCTTTCTGCCTTGACTTCTCCTTCCCCACCTGGCTCACCAGCACATGCAGCATCACCCCTGCTGGCCACTGCCTAAAGCTGGGCTGACCAGTATTTACTTAGCTGGCTTTTATGGGGACCTGTTGAATTAAGGAAGCACTTACCTCAGTATAGGAGACACCTAGGCCGAAGTGATCCTGTGCTTTGAAGGGCCAAGTGAGCGTCTCTACCTTGGCAGTGTGCATGCGTGCACCAGGGGAGGAATCCTGTACACCTAGGGAAAGGAAGAGTGAGCTTGGGTCATTCAGTCAAAAGAAAGTGCTCATAGCACTGAATCTGTGTGTTGTTGCTGAACTTCAGTTAGTGCATTCAGTGTGGTGCATTCAGTGGCCTGCACAGGAAAATATGCCTCTAGGGATAATTGCCTTCCACACTAACTTCCACACTAACTCTTCTGAGCCCCATTCCTTATGACAGATCCCCAGTAAAGCCACTCACTTCCCCACTCCCACTACTATACTTTCAGAAGCCTTGAAACTTCATAGATACCCCCTTCCCCTTTGCCTGCCTCCGAGGGAGCCCCTCTTTCCTCACTGCAAAGTTAAACTTTGCTGCTGCAGGGAAGACAAAATTCAGTTTTGCTGACTCTTTGGAAAGCTGTACCCAGCTCCAAAAGCACTTGCATGGCCCGGTAGCTGAGCATTAGCCTGTAATGCCTCAGATTTCAACAAGACTATTATTTTGCTTAGATGCTATGAAATTCATTTCACATATACAAAACTTGCTTTTGTACATATGTTAATCTGATTTTACAACTTGACTTAAAGCAACTACTGAGCAAATAAAGGCATATTAAAATATAACCACTACGTAAAAACTTTTCTGCATACACAGCCCTTGCTTTTACTCATACAGTGGCAACTCACTATCTTGGACTAACCTGGCTAAGACAAAAATCACTCTGGTTAACCAAGACCTGCAGGCTTTTTCTGATCAACTGGACACAAAAAACTGCTTTGTAATCAAGAGGGTGGCAACCGCTAGAAATGTCATTGTGATAAAGAGGTGTGGCTGGCTAGAGGAGATATTTCACTAAGCACACCTCAGCCAGAATAGTACCTTGACGCCTGCAAGTTACCAAGCACTGGTAAAGGTGCTAAGAACTGCCTAGAAACTCCTTCATCCAGTATAATCAATTCTAATCACTCCCAGCGTGAAGGGGCAACATACAATCAAACGCACATTTCCGGATTTCTTTTGCCAGTCTGAGGATAAAGTATCATCATCATTTGCTTTCCTTTTAAGTGTATGCTGAGACTTATTAATGAAAATCTTAGAAGGGATCAGATACTATTAATCATAACTCAGTATTCACTATTTTGACATCATAACTTTTATGTCATATTTTTACCAAGAGAACCTTAGTCATAGGAGAACTACTTCTCTTGCTGCATTTGTGAGAAGTAAAGGGGACGTTGCCAACTGTTCATGTTGGTTATAAAGTAACCAAACCAGATAAATGTTAATTAGCAGTGTTGTTTTATTTGAAATTTGGAAGCAAGTTTAGCTTGCCTTATCAAATAAGAATTCAGTAAAAAAAAAAAAAAGGACATGATCAAATTTCAACCTACCTCATAAGTTTCCTAACCTTACACTCACAAATCAACTTTAACCTCAGTGTGACATCTGCATTCAAAGATTAGAACTGTATGTTGCTTCAGCTTCCAAGAAGTTTTCAAGTCTTCTGCCTGTCTGCAAAGCAAAATATTTCTGCTACTCATCATAAGTGCTTTTCTTCCTTTTCTACATCTGAAGCAGACAAAACTTCCACACTCATGCACTTTTGGACTTCACATAATTCCTTTTTGCTGTTCTCCTGTTCAAAATTTAATTTGTATCTTGCATGCTATTATCTATTATACTGCTTTTGCAACAATAGAGCAGTCTTGATGTACTGATTTGTACCTTCCTTGTCCAAAGGGAAGAAAAGTGTCCAAGTTAAAGTTATGATTTGCCTACATTTTTCTCAATTTGCTGACTGGATCACACATTGAGAGCTTATAACTCTCGCCCCAAAATGTATTATACGGTGTTTTGACTATCAGCCCTACTCTTTTGGACTGTCTGTGAGCCTAGTGTCCACACCAGAGAGAACTTCCAGTGGTAGAACGGGTCTGGCATCCTGCAGTCATAGTTTGAAGAATTCCTTTTGCTGCATTTCCATTTTAAAACAAACTGATATAACAAATTCCTTGGCTGATCACATTCCAAATCTGCATCTACTCTTGCGTCGCCCTGTCTTGCTTAACTCCACTGCTAATGTTTAATAACTATCATCTGTAATGTTGTTGTTCTGCATGCATCAGTAGAATGCTAGGGGTGAGAATGAAAATTTTTCCTATATAAAATGGAAGAAACAAAGTTGATAATTTTATAGAATACGGTAGGGCATCAAATATGGCGGTCTTGGTAGCATGAACATGTGTTGATGGAGACTTCCTACTGTTTGTTATTCCATCTCCAGTCTAGTATACTTTTACAGAGGCTGCATGTGAACTGGTTAGCTGGATATGTTCTCTGAATAACCTAAACATCCAAGTGAAAAAATTAGTTAACTTTTTGAAAAGGTGGTTCTTACTTATTGATATGTGAAATCTTGCTTAGATCCAACTAAGATACCAGTAACCTTATTTCTCATAGACTGATTCTTGAAAGCAGTTTATCTATTTGATTGCAAAGAGCTTGTGAAATATTGGCACTACATCAGTGAATGTCAAATACCAATGAACGAAGTCCTGAGGCTTCAGACCACAAATTAGAATAGTATTATAGTAGTTTTTATTTTTATATCCTAATTTTTTGAAAAATTTCTTCAAGTTTGGCTTAGGCATTAGTTCTGCTAATACTTATTTTATGAACAAATACACCAGTTTCCATTCTTTGAATTCTTTGGGAAAGTAGTATGTTTTTCAATTTTATGTGAAATATAGTGTGCACGTTCATGTATAAGTATGAAATATTGTGAATTCACATAGCTTATACTGTGGATCTTCATATTTTGTGCAGTTTTATCATCATCTTGCTTTAGCATGACTGGGAAGCAGTTGTGACCAGTTCTACCAGGTATATTGCTATTTTACCATATGACAATGGATTGGCTTCTATTGCTTTCATAAGCCATGAACTCCTGTGAATGTGATACTGTTTGGACCTTTGGCCCAATGTAACCATGGAGGGAACATGCCAAACTCTTCCTGAAGACAACTTCTCAGAAATTAGTATGACCCTTTGCATTTGGCTCCTGACTGGGCAGCACACCAAAGCACATGCACTGAACTGGGGGTTCTGACAGGATTTAAACAAAATATGGTGGTTTCAATTTACACATTCTCACCTTTTAAGTTTCACTACAAGTCTCAGATTGAAACTTAATAGAAAATCAAAGGTGAACTATATATATATTTTAATTAAAAAATAGACCAAACAGACCCCCCCCCCATTCTTCTGCTAAGGGAAGGAAAGACAGAAAAGAAAAACAAAAACTTCAGGTGAAAGCTAGCTTTTCCTTTTTCTCAAGCTATTCTGTTTCATCAGTTCAGTACACCTTCAGCTTATTTTCTTTATTGTGTAGTCCTGCACCCAACATCAGGGCTGGTGTTACACATCACAGTATACAGCATGACTAAGTGTAAAGCACTGCAGGATTCAGACGCTATTCCTGTAGTTGATTAATTTTACAACCAAGTCTTGGCTACCAACATGAAGCCATAAATTCTGAAGACACTTCTGGACTTGAGTTTCTTATGTTTCAGTTGAACAGAGTTACCAGGCTAACTTAATTATTAAGTAAGTTAATCACAATATTTTACAATTATCTAAAAAACTCAACTCCTTTTGCAAAGACTACTTTAATAAAGGGATTATAAAATACAAAAGAGAAAGAGACAGGTAACCTGAGATGCAATTTTGGAATGCAAACTTTTAGTTCAAATGTGCAAGCTCAAACTTAACAAATGTTTAAAATATTTGAGTTTTTCAAACGATGCCAAAATAAACCATGTCTTTTCTAAAGACTACATATTTAGCTAGGCACTGGCAATGTAAATCTTTCAACCATTTCAAGTATTTGTTTAAAAGCTTCCCAGAACACGTGTGCTCCCAAAAAAATTGAAGAATGAAATGTTTAGACCACTGAAGCTCAACAACTGACTTATAATCAACCTAATATGAGAACAACGGTGCATTTTTTTGGACTTGCGAATACATTTTATTTACCAATGCATGAGAAGAACAAACAGAGAAAGTCCAGTTCTGCAGACCTCATGTGAAATAGTAGAATGATAAGAGTCAGTACATGTAACACTGCAATCATAGCAAGAACAGTATCAGAAAAACTGCCAGTCAGTCCTTTAATGTGCCTCACAGTTTATTCTTGTACATGAGAAAAAACTTATGGGGTCCAAATCGAAAGGAAAAAAACTAGCAGCTTTTATCTGGAATTACTGTAAATGAAGAAAATAAAGGCATAGAGAAAACTTGACCTTTAGATAGCAAGTTCATTTGTGTATGCGGATTAAGGACGTTACAACTCTTCATCACCTCTTAAGAAAATTTATACAGCTATTTTAATTTGACAGTTAAGGTGAATGAATATCTTGTGAAATGTCCTGTGATTTGGAATAAATAAATAAATAAATCTTCCTGTGACAACATATTGACATTACTAAACTATTTCAATATGATGGCTTATTTTTAAAACTAGTTTTAATATTTCCCTAATTAATGATTAACTAACGACTCTTACTTTCCAGTGAATAAATTTAAAGAGGAATCAAACTGATTTCATCTACAGGATTCCACTAACAAGACTGAGTTGGCTCTGAACTTTTCAAACATCAGCAGTTTTCCTGACACTAGTATAGAAAACCATGCTATAAATTTTGGGCTGTGGGATGAATGAAAAACACTACTAAATGACTAAAGGTGCATAGTTCTTTTCTGTTAAAGTTGATTTGTCACAATATTGTTAATTAGTGAGGGCTTAGGGAAGGCTTACTATGAATATAATTACAATGCTGAAAAGCATTAATAACGCTCTTATCCTGAGACAATGTGATGCTATTTACATATTTTACCATGGCATATATCAGAAATAGCTCCCAACGCGTAACTTGCTGCAGGATTATCCAGAGAAATACACAAAATCTCATGAGGGAAGAACATTTCTGAGTATCTCAGTGCTCTTCGAAACAATCATCAGGATACTACTTTGACCAGAAATTACAACCATAATAATTATTGCCTATGTGAGTCACCTTTTGTCATGAACTGCTGTTCCATTGGGAGGCAAACAAATTGTTTCTCCTGTTACATAATCTGATACAGTCTCACCCTTCTCTCATAAATTAGGACAAAAATGAAAATTGTATTTGTCTGTTACACAGGGCAGACTTTTTTTTTTTCACCTTCAAATCACTAGACAGAGATCAATCAGTTTACAATGGATAAACTATGTATGTGTTTACAATGGATAAACTATGTAATAGAAGTCAGTTAAGCCATGTTAGGATTGTCCCCTGTTTCTATAGGCCAGATGAGAATTGCTGCCCCCAGTACACTGAAAGGCTCCTGGAACTCTCACTGAGCTCATCGAGGACAGAAATGCACCCAAAGACACTAAAGGAACACTACACTACACTATTGGAAGCTGTGTGACTTTCACTGTTCACTACAGTGGGTGAAGAAGCAAAAATATTTTGACTTTAAACACACAGGTGCTTTTAAAAACTATCCCAAGCTGCGTATGTACCTTTTTAGTGGTTACACACCTTTTATACCTGCCACTGAAAGACTTATTAAAGACTGTGCACTCTTCTTATTAGCAAGGAAGAGTCAGAACTTGAGTATTCCTGAATCTTTGCCTCTCAGCACAGCAAATTTCCCAAGGTCCTTCTCAAAGAAGACAAACATATCTAGCTGAATTTTAAAAATCAATACCTAATTTAATTATGATTCAAAGTCATTTAGCTCAAGGGTGACAAAAAACATAACTAAAAACCTCATTGAATTTCAGCCTACTTGGTGCAAGATATAACACAGAGTTAGGAAATACTTTTTTCTCCTAAGGTACAATGTGACATAGGAAAATTAAGAAGCAAAATTATCATCTAATTTTACAGAATCAAGTATTATCCACAGCCAGATGTATCCGATATTAAGACTGCTAGACTGCTTTTGCCAAGCTGATCCTACTTTCCTAGACAGAGCCAGCTAACATGAGAGGAGGAGGTCAAACAATATTGCTGTATGAAGTCTGCATCACAAGATTAGTTGCTCAGAGGAGGAAAGTATTAGAGGAAGATGGGGAATTCTAGATACACCTAGATGAAGGAGGAACTTAGCCCATTCTTGCATGGAAAACAAGCCCTGATTTACTAAACTTGCATTTCCGAAGCAGCTAATAAGCTTCCTCATCAAAGCTGTCAAGGAGTAAAAGGGAAGATCTTTACATGAATAAGTAAGTAATTAAAAGCTAGATTAAAACTATGAGTAAGAATAAATATATCATTTTCACAGTGGAGAAAAGTCACTTTATTGTCCTACAGGGATCCTTGCTGGAGCCCAGGCTGTTCAACATACTCAGAAATCACCTTGAAAAAGGGGTTAATTTGGAGATGGTGATGTTTGCTGATGATATAAAGTTTCTGTGAATAGTAAAGATGAGCTGTGAGAAGAGACGCAATAGGAACTCAGGATATTCCGTGAATGCATGATAAAACAACAGAAGGAATTTATTACTGCCAAATGCAAAACTACGCATTCAGAAAACAGTCCTGGCTCCATATACTCTACGATGAACTCTGAGCTGAATACTATAATCGAGAAATGAGACCTAAAATTATGACAGAAACAATATTACAGACATCAGCTGTAGTAAAACAGAAACATAAAGCAAAACCAATGCTAGAAATGATTATAAATGGAGGACAGAATAAAACATAAATCATCATTATTCCAGCTGATAAACTGACAGTTTGTCCACATCTTGAATTCTATGGGCAAATCTAGTTCTATATCTCAGTAAAAACACTGCAGAATCCGAAAAGAAAGAGATTAGCGCAACAAGGCCAATTAAAAACATGAGATAGCCTCTTTACATGAGACTAAGGCTTCTGTCTGTAAATGAGACGATTGATAGGGAATGATGTGAAACACAAATAATCACTAGGGACATTGAAAAAGTATCAACAAGGAATGGTTCTTCACTGTCTCTTCTAACACAAAAACTAGGTGATATCAAATGAATCTAGCTGGTTCATAATAAAGAAAAGGAAATAATTCTTCACTCAGTGCATCATTAACTACAAGACTTCTTGTTACAGGACAGAGTAGATACTTGAAGCTTAAATGGACTCAAAAATTGGTCATGAAAAGAAAAGCCCTAAATACTAAGACACCACCTCTGGCTCAGACAGCCCTTAAACAAATTGCTGGAGGCTGGGAGACTACTCCGGAGAAAGGTCACTAGCATCTGCCCTGATTTTATACCCTTTACTAAACACCTACTACTGGTCATTGTTAAAGGCACTTTTTGGGCTAGCTGGGCCTTTGGTCAAACATAGTATGGTATCTTCCTCTTCATTCTCTCCTTGGTCATTTCCTTAAATCAGAAGTGGTTCAACAGCACCAACAGCTCAGGAGATCTTATCTTTCAAGTGGTGCCATAAGGTTCAGTGATGATAGTAAAGGGGGAAAAAAAAAAAAAACAGTAGAGTCTTCCAAGCCCTGGACAGCAGCATGCACCGGATGGCTAAGAAGCTGGAAGCTGGAGTTTGACAATGTTCACATCTGGAAGAATTACACTTTCCTCCTGCTAAGTAAGTGTGTGGGATAGAGTTGCTGGCTGTCTTGAGCACTTCAGAATTTTCTAGAAGAGACTGGTAAATCTGGACTGAAGGAATGCTACCAATTTCCATATAAGGGGCAAGACGTGGTGAACTGAAACTAAGAGCACCTTAGATGTGCAGATGATGACGGTTTAATGTGGAAATGCTTGAAAGGGAAGCAATGCATCAAAATGTCTCCCTCAACCCTAAATTAAAGTTTCATTTTCTTCTTCATTCTTCTGCTATACTAATCTTTCATTACATTTGTACAATTAAAATTTAAGAGCGAAGATAGCATAACAACATTAAAGACAAAGCAGAGTGACTAAGTGGAAGCCTTAGTAGCTACATTCACTCTGCTTGAGCCAGCTCATCCTGGGGGTAGCTTGAAGCCCCTTGTGTTTCTAAGAGTCAATACTGAATTTGGGCTGCTTAGAGTTTACATGACCTTCTTGAGCATGGTTCTAAGAGCACAGAGCTGACCTCTCCGCTCAACTTCAGTCATGTGCCAAGGACAGATAGAATACGTGGAAGTGTTTGGATCACATATATAATTCTAGGACCAACTCTGCTGTGTCTGTAAGGTCTAGAATATATGTATACCTGAATTTTTTTCTTCCTACACTTCTATTTTCTCAGCTCCTTGCTGCCTTCTATTCTTCAGCCTTAGAGTTCACTCTGAGGGCACTTGAGGAGTAAGCAAAGTAGATAGTTGGCAGTCTGGCCTCAGACCCAACCTGGATACAGTTCCTACACCACAGAGCACTAGTTTCCACTTAGAAGAAACAGGTAAAAACTCTTGTAGGAAAGGGGTGAGACACCCACGTTACATTGAAGAGGTGAGTTTTGACTCTATGATGAGGTGGATCCTGAATATCTGAGAGATTTCCTCTCATAGCAAAGGACAGAAGAGTTATCAACACCAATCCAGAAAATTCCCCACTGTCTGGGATACTGTGCAATGTTACAAGGCTTTCACACAGCAATATATGAACCTGTTCCTCCAGTGAAACCTAACTGTGTATTTGTTTTTAATATACACTGAAAATACCGTGTAGTAGGAGTAGTTATTCCACTGCTGTATAGAAGTATATATCTATCCTTCCCTTGGACATAGCTGCAATTACTAGCCACAACTGAATGGGCCATGAGCAAGGGGAAAAAATTTCCAATATACTAACCAGAGACATTTTTTGAACGTGAACCTACTTTATCAATTAATATATTTAACGTGTAAATACTGAACTGTTTGCAGTTTCAGAAATAACACAAGAGATTTAAATTTGGAAACTGCCTTGCAGGGTTTTGCACCTGAAGCAGGCAATATTTGAAAACATGATCAGGCTGTCTTGCAGCAAACTACAATCTAGTAACATTCAGAGAATAGAGTGTTAAAATAAGCATCTACACCATTTTTCACAGTACATAGTGCCACAATGCATCTGCTTAAAAACAAATATATGTTTGCAGTGAAATATTTCGACAAATCACAGAACTCAGCAGCAAAGTAGTTAAACATTTATGATTTGATTTTATCTCAGCTTGGAATGTCGCTGGAGTGTCCCACTTCTAACAACTGTTTGCTAAGTTAAGGCTTTAGTGTTTACACAGCGCTGAATGAAGCAGCCTGGTCACCAGATGTGAATGCTTCCTTAGACTAGAGCTTTCAATCAGATCACGGTCCTAATGGTCCCTGCTCCAACCTTCTTCCTCAGGACGTCCACCAGTCTTTCCAACCTGAGAGGGGGCGGGGGAGAGGGAGAGGAGAAAATAAAGAAGCTAACGTTAGGAATGTTCTGGCTGAAAGAGACAGTGTTTGCACTGAACCAAGCTGTCCTGGTGGTGGTCATGCTAAGAAACAAAGCAGTACTGTAAAAGACAGACATTAAGGGAAAATGCAGACAACTCATGGAAAACTTTTAAACTTACAACCCAACCCATTTGCAGTCAGTGATATATATCAACTCACCTTTTCTTTTGTAGTATATACAGTATCTGAGGTCCTCGTTAGGAATTAAAACAAAACCCTACGCAGCAATTTTGCTGCACATATACCTTTCTGTGTAAGCAGTACGTACATTCTTTCATTCCTGCAATTTTTAAGAACTTGAGTGGTCCATGGCTCCTGTAAAATGTAATACTTGTTATTCCTTAAAAAATACCCTGCTCATTATTCAATACCACAAGATACTTTTATCATCCAATTTATAAATTTATGCCAAAAATCCATGTCAAAAGCGTCTTCAAAATGCATGACAAGTCAAATTTCCGAAGATGAATTTGAGGGTATTTTGAAGGTGGCCTGCATGACTGTTATGTCAACACAAATACAAAATAATTTACCGTCTAAATAAGTAGGACAGAGAGATGCGTAATACTCTCTTAGCTTTAATGCACAAGATATAAGCATGTCCAGCATCTTATTGGCTTAACTTGTTCTTTCCTTTGTTAAAGTATGTGGGCAAACTGAAAGCGCTAAACTTGCCCAAGATTTTCCATTTGCATGCATTTATCTTTAAGTACTCCAGTAATCATGTATTCAAGCTATTTCTTCAATTTATCTATATTTTATGGAATTCTTCAATGAAAGCTCTCCCCCCAAAAAACTAATCGTGTAAAACTAGACACTGACGGTAGTGGAATACCTTCAGAGCCATGCACAGCAAATTATGCACACCATTTCCACAGTAGTTAAGAGCTGCAAGTTCAAATAGCCGTATTCACTACTACGAAGTTCACCATTTTTCTGACCTGAAGACAGATTTATAATTACAACATGATGATCGTAGATTAGAAATATAAATAACAGAGCTTTATCAAAGCTGTAAACTGCATTTGAGCTAACGTGCAGGAAAACTAGTTAACACATCCTGGATTTATTGCCACAAGTGACTAATGCACATTGTATGTATTGAAACACTCATTTTCCAGGAACCACCAAGCACCATGAAGCTACACCTTTTATTGTACTCACTAGGTGACATAATTCCTGAAAGTAGATTAAGAATTCACCACCCTAAAGCCACTATCACACACCTGGAAATGTATGTGGAAAGTTCACAGGGACTATTGCACAGGGACACTAAAGAGTCGGCTTTTAATGACTGCCAGTTTCACTTCCCAAGCACAGGTAAAACACTATTCCTCTCCCTCCAGTTTTCCACATATCACTTTTCTTTTCCTTTTTAATCAGCCTGTAACATTTTTTCTCTTTTTTCCCACATACATCTACTGCACCTGCTTGTCTTTATGGAGGCAGCATCCAGACAGTCATAACTTACTGCAATCACTCTATGCAAGTCAGGGCTTTTGCAGCTTATTTGCTCCTGATATTTTTTTCCACGTTGGCTAAATTAATGTTTCCTGGGTTCTAAATGTTCTAATTTATAGTTACTGATAAGTCATATTTCCCTCAGACCCTGTTACCGAGAGGTTTACATGTTAAATCAGTTCTTAGTCCATGTGCAATATTTCAGAAAGTAATGACAGATCAACCCTCACTTGTAACAGCAGTGAGGACCTCTGACCCTTGTACGTTCAGAAGCATCATTCCAGCTTTCTCAACCACTTTAAGCATCACTGGAGGTCTCTCTCTCAGTAGCATCCTCCCTAACGTGCTTCAGGGGCAAATCCCTTTGCTCTGAAACATCAAGGATGGGAGAAACATGTTAAATAGCCTGCACAAACAGAAGGTTTGAACTGCAAGTTCTATTGTTTTCTGAGAAACGGCAGAAAAATAGTAAAATCTGAGATCACAGCTTATTTAAATTGCAGTTCAGTTACAAAGAAATGCTGCATGGCTTATACATGCGGGGGAAAAATAACTTCAACAATTGAGGTGTCTTTAAGAGAGACGTGGGTTAGAGGGTCACTGCTTACAGGCTGTCCTGCAATGAGCTTAGATGTGCACCACTCTGTGACCAACCAATGACACTGCACACTCGCGCAGACAAGCTAGTGAAGAGTTGCCCATGTTTGAAGAGAAATACCACTGGGATGAAAGTAGCTGTCTTCTGTTTAACCTTGAAACTGTCAGGCCTCATTGAAAATAATGAGGCTTAACAATCATAGCTTCTGCTTTGCAAATGAATGATGACTGAAATCATCAAAATGAGGTATCCAGCACCAAGAACGAACTGTGCCGAGCTTATTTGTCTTTTGGTTCAGTCATGTGTGGATTTGCAAATTTATTTGTTCTTTATTAGAAGAAAGAAAAAAAAGCAGCAGAGGATTAAGAAACCATACCTTTGAAAGATATCTAAACAATAATGTAAAAGAGAACCGCAACAGCTATTTATAAGATAAAATAACAAAGGGCAAAATTCACCCCTACACAGACATAAGACCCAATATACCACTGAAATCCCACTTAAGCCTACAAAATAATGCTATGGGCTGAATCAGTGGTTAATAACTCTTGATACAGGCCTCGGGGGGCTTTTGGGAACGATAATCCTGGACTCTTTGTTCACCAAGGGTCCAACTCTTCCATCCTGCCTCACAATAAGCAGCATTTTTCCTTGTGAGTAATAAAAGATAGTTAATAAGGCTGTTTATGTAAATGAGGTACTACCTGCAAGGATGAGGATGACAGTATCACCTCTTATTGATTAATCTTTGTAACAAGCCTGGCGGGTTACTGCAGCAGCTCCTTTCAGAATCTGAGCATTCTAGCCTGTGCTAAACTATACCTCAAAATCAAAAGTAACCTGCAAATGTATCAGACCGAACAGCAGAATAAGAGGTGTTGGGAACTACCCTAAAGCTCTATCACCTATGTATATATCTGGCAAAATGCTTATAGGGAGCATATGTTGTTATATAGAGCGCTCTTACACAGCTCCCGAACTGGTTGACTTCCTGCTTTGATTTTTAGAAGCTTTAGAGATTTATCTTCACCAATGCTTTTTAGACTACCACAGATTGAAGGAGAGCTAGAAATCTTCAGGGACTATTGTCTCCCTTAAGTATAAATCATTTTGGTTTTACAGTCATTCTTATAAAACAGACTTAAAATTTGTACTGACAGAAAAGCTTGTTCTGGGAGCTGAACGGCCAGCTGTGTAATTGCAGAAGTGCTACCTACTGGTCCAACCACTGTCTCTAGTGCAGATTGCCTATGTGCATTTTTGGCTTGCTCTCTTTCAGGAATTTTGCTGAAGAAACGTAGCTTTAACCTGGAGCTTGGGCTCAGTAAAAGCTCTACTACTGCTTAAATCCAAGCAGATCAGTACATGCCCCTACACTGCACCACCTCTGGCCAAAGGAGCTCATTTTAAACCAGAGCAGTGGCCTTTAACCACAAATTCTGAATATGGATAGAGCTATCACAGATTGATCTTCCAGGATATCATGCCTCAGAAATAGCCAAAATGCATACCTAAATGGAAAAAAAAGCATCCTTCAAGTAGCCTATTTCCTAATCTACAAGGCAATATAGAGACTAGTCCAAAACAATAGCTTCTACCTGCAGATGCAGGAGTTATAAAAACAAAACCCTCCTGGATTTTGAAATGCTATATAAAGGCTTATAAACCTAAACTATAACCCTTGGCTATCTGTCTAGCAGATTAGATTAGGCTCAGGCTATGGAGGTGGCCTTACTTGCATGATTTCTGGCTTCTTGTGGAATGTGTTTTGCTTACACTAATTCCCTTTAGAAACCAAGCATTTTAAAATATATTAGATAAATAAAATGCACTGGACAGAAGCATTACAAGCAGCTTAGCAATAGGGCTCAGTGAATAACTGACTCTTCAGTGAGTGGTCACACAAACAAATTCACTTAATTTCTTCTTCTTCTAATAATAATAATAATAATAATACATTCCTGTCCTTTTCCTTTCTTTTCCTCCAGTTTTCCTCTTGGATATATTTCATCATATCAGAAATAGAATACTTTGTTTTCAGGCATTTTCAGTAAAAGTCAAGGAAATAAATGACACAGAGAAGAGAGGTTGCTGTGATACCAGCACTAGTCTCATACAGAAACTAGTCACTTGGACAGGCTCATTTACTCAAAAGGCTGGAAGAAACTAGTTTAATTCTTTTATCTGTGCAAGGGAATTGGAGTCCAGCTATCTCCCTCTTAAGGTAGCAGCACTTTACAAATACTGGTTTCTGGGGTGGGTTGTTTTCAGTCTCTATTGTTGAAGCTGTTCTGCATTGAATAAAATGCTTAAATATTCACTGGATTGAAGCCTGGAATGTGAGGGTATGACCTGGCAGGTGAGTGGCCTATCTACCATGCTACAGAGGCATTCTCCCTCTTACCTCTGTGTTGCTCACTGCATCTTTAATTACTCTTATTCCTAAATTCAGGTTTTATTTTTGCTACCTGAAAAACCTACCTTTTCAACAAGAATAATTTTTGATCTATTTGCTAAAAAACATTGCCTGGCTGCACTTAATGGGTCATATACCAGCCTGTAACAATTCCTTCAAAAATCATCTTTCTGATAAAGACTAGATCGATTTAGATGCATTGGGCTGCCTTTATTCTGCCTAACAAACTTCCCTCTGCATATAATGTGCTTGAAACTGGGTGTCTTTCTAAATGCTGCACTGGAGTTTAGCAGTGGTTTTGAACCTGATGCAGGAATTGCTAAGTAAAATTCTATAGCCTGTGTTAGACAGGTGGCTGGAGGGAATGATATTAATGGTCCTTTCTGGTCTTAAAACATGGGTCTTAGACACTGATTCAGCAGCATTAGCTAGCTCTAAATCGTGGTACACCA